GAGAGAGAGACAGACAGAGAGAGAGAGAGAGACAGAAAGAGACAGAGACAGAGGACAGAGAGAGAGACAGAGAGAGACAGAGAGAGACAGAGAGAGAGACAGAAAGAGACAGAGAGAGAAACAGAGTGTCAGAAAGAGAGAGAGAGAGAGAGAGAGAGAGAGAGAGAGAGAGAGAGAGAGAAGAGAGGCTTTCGGTGGAGACTGTAAAGGTGAGGTGAAAGTTAATCTGAGGTGAGCCCCTGTTTGGGCTGCCTGACCTGGACTTAGGCAAGCAGGATTGGTTAAAGATATCTACAGTCAAGGATGGAAAGTCGAAAAACATAGTTTGAATGTAATTAGGGTTTGGAAAACAAGTGAAATAAAAACATCTTATTTTCATAACACATTTCTCCCCAAAGGTAAAGCTAGTCCACATCCTCTCATTTGCTGAAAAAAACACATGAGTAACGGTTCTTAGTGAGTGGACAGAATCGTCAAAGGGTGGAGGAGTCAGAATCTCTAAAGTCAGGTAGAGTTTAAAAAGGTTTATGCACTTCAAGACAAAGGACAGGGCCCTTCCTGCAGCACAGTGTAGGAAACAAACCCCACATTTCACTCCCTAAATGGCAGGCAAATGAATTTAAGGTCTAATCCAGAACTGCATGTAAAGGAAATCCAGATAGTTGGGTGCTGTCCAGATAAAATAGTATAGTAAATGTGTAAGAACTGTGGAGTCTTCGGGATAGAGCTTCACATCCCAATCGCACTATCTGCAGGTCATGAAATTCAGGGAAGCTTTAATTCTGTAGATCATAGTCTCTTAATCTGTAATGTAGTGACAATCTGACCTTACAGAAGTGTAGGAATGAGTGGATATAAAGAAGGTGCTTCACAGTGGTTAGTGCAAAATAATTATTGAGTAAAAAGCTGCTAATATTTCTGTTGTAAAAGGGGAAAAGGGACATAAAAAATGAAGCTGTGTTATGTGCATGTATCAACTCTCCATGATGAATGTAATCACTGGGTACTGCAAACACATACCAATTAAAATTACAAAATAGAGAACATAAACAAAAATACTTTTACATATCTTTCTTTCAAGCTTTTCATCAGCCAAGCTTACCAGAAGTTACCAGTTACCAAGTAACCCTGGCTACACAGAGTACTTTTCATTCCGGAACCCATAACAGAAAATGTGCCGAGTCTGTTGGCAAAATTAGAACTGTGCTGCAAAAAACATTATTTTCCTGTGATGCTAGGCAGCATGGTTATGTATTTTAAGAATGTCTAGTACAGTCTGTACTGTGTGATAAATATTGTAATTATAAGCATATAATTAAATGCTAGACTTATTCATCCTTAAAGTCCCCTGGCTCTATATTCCATAAATAGATTTCATAAAATAGCGTTGTTTAGTGTTCTATCTTTTTCTGGATGCCAGAGGAAAAAAATCACCTCAGTAAATTAATGTTCTATTCAGGTCCTCGACTTAAAAATTTATTGCCATCACCTTGCCAAACTTTGAAGTGTAGGTTTATTTCAGAATACTGGGATTCATATACAAAGCTTTTAATTTGTTATAGTATCACATTGGATAAAAGTATAAATTGTAGCTAACATACAAATTCTACTTTATATTACTCATAAAATGCTCCAATCTATTAAGATAAATCAGTTTCCTAGCTTAAATACTAAACCTTAAAAAATTAATTTTGGGAATATTGTTCCTGAGATATATGTTCTAGGTTATTTCGCAAATGTTTTTGCTCCACAAAAGACATGGAAACAATTCATCTTTTTTCATTTTAGACTTTTCATAGTAATCTTAAGATTGTGTAATTCTCACAGAAAAAAAAGCACAAAGAATCAGAAAGACTAAGAAGCATGATCAAAGTTAAGCTCAGGGATTTTGTAGAGGGCAACTCTTAAAACACAGCTGCATCACATCAAGGTTGAGATGGGAGACAGAGCTCAGAGAGACACAGAGGTCGTAAAGATACACACATATTAAGGACTAATAATAACTCTCTGGAAATTCAGAAAAAAATAAGATATTTTCTTCAAAAAATAGTGATGTTATTTGAAGTCAAGTATAAATTTTACAAGTATGAGTTAAATGTTTTGAAACTTTAAAATGGTGATATTTCTTCCCTGGAGAGAAATATTTTAGAACTTACTAACATCAGATAAAACAATAGTAACTTTCTTGCAATTTTTTACTTAGCATATATTCATTAGAATCACTTAAAACAAGTGATAACCTATGGATTGTGGGAATGAGAAAAACACACCTGAGGTGGCAATTTTTCCTGCTCATCAGCGTTGCATCCCTGTCACAGTTTCAGAAAGTGACACATGAGAAGCAGAGCTGGCACCACCAGGAACTGAGACTCTGGGCAGGTTACACAAAGACCTGGTATTCCTAGAGATACTGGGATGGTACGAGCCAGTAGGTGGGGTCCCTGAAGACGCACAGCCTAGGAACCAAGAGTGAAGCACAACCTGATACCCCAATTAGCACCACTGCAAGGTGCACGAATTCTGTAAGTGCCCATGAGACTCATTAGAGCAACTCAAGTAAATCATGTCCAGAAGAAAACTGCTTGAGGAAACGTGCGAGGATGCCTACCGAGACAACTCTGAATGGATTTTGAACACCATAAATACAGCATCTTTACCACACTAGCTTTTCAAATCCTCTGGAGTCAGTCTTCACACAGGCAGTGCTGCTCACTGATTTTGGAAGAGTTGGTCACTATTTTGACCAAATAAGCCCCCAGGGCTGAGGCCCCTGGTTCTTCAAATGAGCTGGCCCAACTAGATTACCAGTAGGTGTTATACTTTTTTATATTCATTGAAGCTTTAACGTCAAGTGGAAATTAAAGATTCTTTCTACAGAAGCAGACTGCTCAGACCAGATCTCTAATTCTGAGTAGTGCTGTCTCGGCATCACTCTGTCTCGCCCCGACTCCTCCACATCACCCCAAATGCTTTATTTTCTAAGAATTGCTATTTTTTCTAGAAAATGTCTCGATATATTTAACTTTCCAGACCACTACTTCCTTGTTATCAGCCCTCTTGATTGCAGTTGAATAGATCAACGTTTATAGGATTGAATCTGTTGAGATCAATTTTCCAGGATTTGAGAACTCATTCCACAAATAATAAGTAATAGTTTATGTTTGGTTTCCATAAATGAAATTCTAAGAGATGTTACTATGGAGCACTGAAATTAAGATGCTTAATTCTAATCTTAGTAAGTTGTTTTAATATAATCTAATCTTAGTAAGTTGTTTTAATATAATACAATCTTAGTAACTTATTTTAATATTATCTTGTTTTCTCATAATTTACCAGGTAAATATATGTTTTCATTTACATTACAAGGTAAAAAATCCAATTATATAGTTTGAAAGTAAATATATATATCTATATATATAATATGAAAGAAAATATTCCTATGTTTAAAATAATTTTAAAAATTGTAATGATCTGAAACCTAAGTAATCAGATTACTACAGTGAATTTTAGCAAGATAAGTGGTATAAGCATAATAAAGCAAGTTTTGACTGGTACATTTCTTTAGGAGTTGGGTGACTGAGCAGAACTCTGCAGGAAATAAGTATTTTTAAATAATTAGCCCTTGGAACACGTATTTGAAGAAATTTCTACTTATGATGAAGAGTCTTCTAATAATATCACTCAAGCCTTTAGCAAGAGGATAGCAACCCAAACAAACATCTTGTAGCAAAATAAATTACTCATCAGGGTTACAAGATTTTAAAGCCCAATAGTTATATTCCTGTGGGAAGAAAAAATTCAGACTGAATAGTTTCTAATGAAAAAAAAAAGCAGCACCAATGAAGTAAATATCAGAGACATATCCCAGAAGGTCTCAAAAAATAAGCCGTTTGAGCGCCTCTGAATCTCCTACCACTCAGCTGCACTTATGCTTGTGTCAACTGAAGGTGAATAAAATCATGCAGGTCATGGCCTTTAAGTTAATTAGATGCAAGAGCCCCAGTCATCATCAGTGCAGCTACAATAGCTACAGGAATTTATGCTGCATTTATTTTAGTAAGCAAGAGGATTTTCTTAATATTAACATGTAAAAACTTTAATAATTCAGCAAAGCAATTATTAATGTATGCACAGAGAGTGAAAAAGGAGACAATTGCAACTCAATATATAACACAACATTTTATATTCAGTATATAACAATATGACATTTTATATTCAATATATTCAATTGCAATTCAATGTATAACAATATAACATCTTCTTCTAGAGACAGTGTCTTGCTAGAGAGCTCCTGCTGGGCTTGAACTCACTATGTAGGTTAGGCTGGCTTTGAAATTGTGATCCTCTTGCCTCAGTCTCCCAAGTGTTGTGATTCTAGGCATGCACCACCATGTCTAGCTATAGCAAAATTTTAAAACTGTCTGAAAAGTGAACTTGAATAATATGCTGAATTATAATACTAATGTCTTGTGAGTAATCCATGATTTAGAATCCTCTTTAAGTTAGAGATGAAAAGCAGTCACTTTATGAGCTAAGTACCATATTACTTTTTTCATGAATTGAAATATATTTCTTAGATTTTTAATTATAGTATTACAGCATAGAGTACAGATTATATAATTTTTGTCTGCATTAAGACATATATCAAGATACTGTGTTATCCATAAAATGGTGAATTTAAGGCGTAATCAACCTATTAACAATAATGACCAATGTTTGAAAGCAGGGGTCAGTAAGCTTTTTCTGCAGTTAACACGTTAGACTCTAGGCCACAGAGTCTCTGCTATACTTACTTTACAGTTTTAGACTATACATACACACAAACAAATTTTATTCCAATAAAACCTTATTTACAAAACCATACAGCAGTGATTTTGGCAGACTACAGGATGATAATATACTGATCCTTGAGCTATGAAACTTGTTCTGTGTATTATTTCATCCTATATGATCAACTTGGTAAAATAACCAAAGTTTAGTCAAATAGCAAACTGACCTACCTTTTCCCCAGGAATTCCAGGAGCTCCAAATTCACCTTTAGTACCAGCTATGCCCTAAAATACAGAAATGCCCATTAGATGTGTTTAAAAAGACACATTAATTGCTACCATCAAAGAGAAATTTTTATTTCACAGATGCATTACTTTTGCTTGTGCCAAAGCTAATGTACATAAATCATTAAACAAGACTTCTGGAAATGTTCGACAAATTGTCCAAAAATGAAAATCTAATAATTTGGAAGTAGAAACAGACATCATCTGCTCAGAATTGTGCAATTCAGATTTGTCCTTTTCATTTATTAAAGATAATGAATGCCTACTGTGGTCAACAGAATGAGTTTGAATTAAAAGCAACCTTCCTACTTAAGGTTTTGAATTCAAGTAAATTCTCATAACTTCAAGTATCTTCGTAGTTTCAGACTCCAAGGTACCCAGTAACAGGCACTTGAGGTGCCCTAAGTCCCCAGGAAAAAACCTGAAGTCGGGTCAAACTAATGGTCAACTTTCTTGCTCTTCTATCTGCACTGCCAAGCAGGACTGTGAAACCCGACTCAGTGCAGCCCTGGGTCACCTCTGGCTGCCTGGTTAGCCATATCACAAATTCAGTCTAGTAAATTTATCCTCGAAAGAGTAGAATATGTTGAATAAGAACTTTTTTTTTTTTTGAGACAGAGTTTCATTATGCATCTTAGCCTGGTCTCAAACTCGCTTTGTAGTGAAGATTGACCTTGAACTCACAGCAATCCTCTTGCCTCAGCCTTCTGAGTGCTAGAATTACAGGTATGCACCACCATGCCTAGTCTGAACTTTTTAAAAAGTTAGTCTGTTATAAATGTGAGGTGGGGATTAGGAAATATACTATAATGTTATGAATATATAATGTTATACTGAAATTATTTAATTTCAGATTTAAGATACACAAGTAGAGTTTACCTTTAATTTCCCATAAATTATATGAGATTATAGCAGATGGATAAAATTTTGAAAAAGTCTTATCAATTAACCCATCATACTTAGTATGGGTTAGAAAGGATGAAGAAACATTTCTTATATTGATTTAGGTCAAGAAGTCAGAAACATAAAATCTTACTTTTGTGGGGTAATCACTAAGCAAAAGTATTCTTCCTTTTAGAAATGAACATATTTTAATTCAGTTATTTTTACAGATAATTCTAGTCATCTTTTGAAGCTACAGAGCTGTCATCTCAGCAATGCCACACTGGAAGCAAAATAAGAGAAACTACTGTCCTCACTACTCAAAGTTGATTGGAAGGTGAGGAAAATTGAAAGACATCAATATAAGGTTTTAGGCTCAAACAAATGACCTTATTCTACTAAATTACTTTGATCATCTCTCCATGTATATCAACACGGAAAATATTTCTTAAAGCCAACATTTTGGGAAATTAATTGAAGATGTAGAAGACAATACAAAAATCAACTGGAAAATGTTCCCCATATAGAGGTGAGATAAAACTCCTCTCCCAGGCTGATGAATGTTAAAATTGATCTGCTATTTTACAAAATTCCAAGAGAATTTCAATGCTGAAATGAGTGAAGGTATTAGCAAAGATCCTAAAGAACTGAGAAAGTAATGTGGTTGCTAAGTAATTAGGTTGCCAACTATACTTACTTAGAAAAGGGAATTAAAAGATTCAGCAAATTATAATAATTGAGTCTGAATGAAAGTATTAATTATTATTTCAAATAAAATGTTATATGGAGTTTAGTCCGGGACTGACAGAATAGCTAGAATACTTTGATTAAATATCCTCATGTAGACTATTGATCACAACTATGTGTTCAAAAATAACCATTGATATTTCACACCACATTGCTTCACAAGGGCATTACCAGCTTGACAAAAACAAAAGTGGTAAATCATGTAAATGAATCATCATAGTAGTGGCTGGGAAAGTAGGCAAATGAAGAGAAAAACCCAGCTGTTTCAAAACCTGTAGCTTACTTCAAAACATTTATGATTTTGCATTAGCTAATTGAAAATATTAAGCTAAAACCGATTGGTCAATATATGAAGTTTTTATAAGGGAAACGTGTAGAAGAACAGTAGTGAACAATACAATACCATCCCAAAATTATCTAGCTTTTCTTTGTAAGTAGATTCTGCCCTGCTTAGCAGACTTTTCTGCAACTGGCAAGTAGAACTTACAGGTTCTAGAAACAGCTGAGTTGATCATTCGTACATTCCTTGAGGTACAGCATTCATTCATTCATTCATTCATTCATCCTTTTTAGTTCCCTAGCATATGCTTGTTTATCTACGGAGCTCATAGAATTCACTTTAATGGGAAAATAGACAGCTGCATAAAGATGATGTGTTCAGTGGCAATGAAAGTCCTAAGAAAAGCAAGAAGATAGAGTTGAGATGGAGAAATGTTTTTTATAAAGACATACAAGATAGGTATCTCAGTTACAAAGTGATTTTTTGAGAAAGACCCTAAATGATAAGGAACGAGCCAAGTGGAAATCTAGGAGAACCTTCTGGGCCACGCGACCTGGTGGGAAGCACTTGTAGCAGGAATAAGCGAGAGGAGAGGCCAGCATGTGAGTCACGGAGTGGAAAGTGGGGAGCGGAAGCCGCACGCACAGGAAGACCTGCCTCCTGGTGGGAAGTGTGGGTTCATCTTCAAATAGGAACTTGCTGCTGGATTTTGGCTCAGGTGGAACATGACACACTCCCGTTTACTTAGAATATATGTGTAACTCACAGTATATTTGCATGAATAAAAGTAAACTACATTCTTTATAAAGGTATAAGGATCCTTAAAACATAACACTTTCAGAAATATTGTAATATAATGGCTAAAATGTAATTTGTGAAGACATTTGGAAGTCATAATCTCAAAACTTATCTTCATTTTGTCTCACTGCACCAAAAGTGAAACGTATTGGAAGACTGGCAGACCCCGTTCTAGAGTTAACATGAAAAAGTAACTTATCAAAACTAGGGTGTTGTTTAAATAAAATATATTTACCAAAGTAAATTTAAGTCATGCAATGTATCAGACACACAAGCTTAAATACTGCCTTTTTTCTCTTGTGTGAAACCCCTACTATAAATAAGGAGCAAAATAGACAACATACAACAGGAAGTAGAAAGACCTTCTTCTAACAGGAGGAGACTCAGACCTGGAGAGAAGGTGAGGGAAGGAAGGCAAAAAAGACTTAAAGCAAAGGAAAAAAGAACTGAAGGCAACAGAAATAGAGCTTTCGGAAATGGAGAGGCAAAGGAAGGTTGAGGGAAGGGAAGGAAAGGAATTAAGAAAAAGAATTAGGATGTGCTATGCACACGTACATATCCTTCATATGAATGTACTAGCAAAGAAATAAAATATAAAATATCTATGAGAGAAAAAACGTATTATAGTAAATGACACCCTGTCATAGATCCCCCTTCCTGCCAAATACTCCCCCCTGTTCACACACTTATGCCCCTGTTCTTGCTACTTTATGAAGTAGTTTTGGAAGTCCTGTGTTTGAGTGCCTTTAGTTCTATGTTGTGGTACCTCAATGTCTTCCATCAATTCTAAACATTCAGCTTTCAAATTCTGACCTTGAGGAAGAGCCAGAAGACACAGCGAGAGGTGTCTAGTGAATAAGGTGGGTGAAAACACACTAAAGTGTTACTTGACAGAAATTGCTGTAAATGTGTGGAACTAACCTCAGACATTCAGGCACAGACTAAAAGACATAAAAGAGTCATGAAGAGGCCAGAAAAAAGAAAGAAAGGGAATCAAGAGTTGGGTAGAGGGGGAAGGGCAAAGGCACCAACAAAGGAATTAAGATGTTTAAGTTCATGAATCAACTTCCTGCAAGGAATATAAAAAAATATATGCTATACTCACATTATATAACACACTGAAATTTTAAAAAGTGATGAGTATTTTGAAGATTAATGGCAATGTGACTTTTATTGTAATATTTTTTAAAAATTTAAACTCACTTAGCTTTTGGTCAGCCTTTGTACAGTTAATGAGAAAAAATAAATTATAATAGTATCTGAACAGCTTCTAATTTATATTATGTAAGTGAGACAGTGCAAGGAATTAAAAACAAAAACAAAAAAAAACAGTACAGCCAGACATGGTAGCACATGTCTGTAAACTTAGCACTTGGAAGGCTGAGGCAGGTGGATTGCCATGAATTCAAGGCCAACCTGAGCTATACAGTGAGTTTAAGGCCAGCCTGAACAATATAGCAATCCCCTGTCTCAAAAAAGTCACACACACACACACACACACACACACACACACACACACACAATAATAATAATAATAATAGAGAAAGAAAAAGAAAAACAGGTACATCCTATCCAGAAAAGATCAGGTAATGCTGTGAATAAAGCAAACAGAGCTCAGTATTCATTTAATTGATCTTCCAAAGAAATTAAATGCCAATCAACCATTCATATTTACTACAATTCATATAACTAAAAATTTTTATAATTTAAAACATCTAGTCAATTGAAAATTCTAAAGCACTATCTCTCAAGTAAAGATTTGACCAACACATATGAAATTAAACTCAACCTAAAGGGATTACTTCCCCAACCCTTTAAGATGTGAGCAGTTGCACTGTGGATAAGACAGCAGGGGAACATATGTGTTGAATGTCTCTTATGTGCCAGTTGCTGTTATTGTTTTATCTCCAGTGCATGATAATGTATCCTTCCTCATAATTAACTATGCACTAGGATGATTAAGGTCCTTTTCAAGGCCACTCAAAGGTAGACAGGATTTGGTCCTAAACATTTCAAGCTCTAAGGTTTTAATCTTGGCAGATTACTGCCCTATCTCCCCTCAATGTGCTTCCTCGGGCTTACAAATCAAAAGGAAAGATTTAGAATAATACCTAGTTTCCTTGGTAACTCGGCACTTCTGGTCATTTCACAAAATTAACTATTCAATAGCTCCAATCACAAAATGACTCTTGATCTTAAGATTTTCAGCTATTTGGTGCACCTGCTCTGACAATGAAAATAACAAGCCCAAATCAAATGCTGCGGGAAGTACTCTTTGTTGTACATTAAGGCTACAGGATCACATAATGCAACAGGAATAGCAATAAATCCATCAACAACCCTTCAAAAAGGAAACAGGACATCTATGTTCATTACAAGTGCCAAGAAACTTGAATACATTCAGGGCCATTATCACCTGAGGTCATTTTCACTAGGCAAGGGTCATGCTGGCTAATCAAATACTGGTGTATGCAGTGAAAAACTAAAGTAAGCATACTTAATTGTTTTGTTGACTATTGTATCCCAGTTATTTTTACCTGCTACTAAAATCTCTTGACACTGTAAGTTTTGTATATCTTGGAACCTAAAATGAATTTTAATATTTGAAGACTGTATCACAGTCAGCTGGGCGTGATGGTGCACGCTGGTAAGCACGGCATTCAGGAGGCTGGAGCTGGCACTGAGGGATTTTGAGTTTCAGACAAGATTGTGCTATAAGTTGAGTTCAAGTGCAGACTATATAGTCTGTCTCAGAAAGTAAAGAGAAGAGTCAGATGAGGGTTTGAACCTCTAAGATACCTTTTCATGTCATATGTCTTATAGATATGACATACATTTTCTAATATTTATCTTTTTAATCATCTTCAATTGTTTATTCCTAGTCCTTTTATTTCTACATAAGGTAAGAATGTCTCTTAAATCATCTCAAGATGATTAACCCAAAGAGAACAGATCCTTTACTTTCTTATTACTGTTGCAGTTTCAGAATTTAAAAAAAAAAAACCTTAAAGTCTTCAATAGTTTTTAATGAGTGAATCAAAAAAAAGACACGTATATGTGCTAGTAGGAGATGTTCATTTAAATAAAGAGAAAATATATGTAAAAAAGGTAACAGGTTAATGACCAAAACACACACATAGAATTCTTTCCTGCACCAATTATCCTAAATATAGTAGAACTGGTCCATTAAAGAACGGGAAGGTCAAGTTAAGGAATATGTACGTGGATGGTACCACATCACAATCACCAACAACCGAGCCACATATACTTTTTAAAGCACCTCCATGTCGTCTTATGATGTAGGGGGAACCCTCATTCACAGATCAGAAAAGTTAAGCTTTCAGAGATAGGGTGTCTTGACCATGTTACTCTGTTAACCAGAGAGGAGCTGGGGTTAACTCAGAAATCATTCTACTCCGAGTCTTCTAATTGTACCTAAGACATCACTCTACTTTTCTGTGATTCTTCCACCAATACAATGATGTTTAAAAACATTAGAATCAACAAGTGCAGTTACACCAGACTAAAAAGAAAAAGCAAAAGAATTGATTAGTGAAGAGACAACCTATAAAACGGGAAAAGAATTTGTCAGTTACTCTTGAGAGGACTAATGTCTAGAATACATAAAAAACTCAAAAAATTAAATCACCTAAAATTAAAGACCCAGTCAAGAAATGGCCAAGAAATGAACAGACACTTCACAGAGGAAGACATAGAAATGATGAACAAATATATGAAAAAATATTCAAGATCCCTGGCCTTTAGAGAAATGCAAAACAAAGCTAAGCTTCTATTTTACTCAAAAGAATGGCAATCATTAAGAAATCAATAACCAATGCTGCAGGCTCTGATGAAAAAGGAACTCTATTGTTGGTGGAAATGGATACTATCACAGCCATTCTGAAAATCAGTATGCAGAGTTCTCAAAGAACTAAAATTAGAAATTCCATATGATCCAGCTATGTCCTTTCTAGGTATCCTCCCCAAGAATTTAAGGCATCATACTAGAGTGGTACACGCACATCGATGTTTACAGCAGCATCATTTATGATAGATAAATCCTGAAATCTGCCTGGATATCCATAAACAGGAGGCTGCATAAAGAAAATGTAGTATCTATATACTATCATGAATACTTCTCAGCTACAAAGAATAACAAATCTGAGAGACCTATAGGAAAATGGATGCATCTGAAAAATATAATGGTGAGTGAAACAAACCAGAGACGCACGCAATACCATACCATCTCCCTCATTTGAGGGAAGCAAAGCACAAATAAAGAGAATAAAGATGGATAAAAGACAAGGGATGGGCCTTTTGCAACAGGAAAAGGGTTCAAGGAAACAAGGGTGAGAAAGTGCAGAGTAGAGTAAAGACCTGCCTTCAACAGGAAGCTGATACCCTAAATGACTGTAAACACTGTATGCCATTACAGGAACTAAGATGAATAATATCAGCAAGTATAAAACTCTGGATAGAGGAATTAGAAGAGATGGGAGAGGGAAAGGAAGAGAATTAACAAAACCAAGCTGTAGCATGGACAGGTACCCTCCCCAAGCTGACTGCAAACTCCAGGTTCTGCAAACATGAACAGGACTAATAAAATTCTTAAAAAGTTAAAAATATGAAAACTTAAGCTAATATTCTCTATGAAGTTATAAGGATAAAACAAACTATTACAAAGTGGAAAGTATTCTGAATGCAGAACATGGACTAATAATACAGAAGTGTTCTCGAACACAGGCGGATTTCACAATAGACATGGTATAAAAGGAAGCGACTGGCTTCACACTCAGACCCTAACCTGGCCTCAAGCTACGTGGCCATGGGGAATAGTCTAACCTCTCCATACTTCAAGATGTCCATTTATTAAAAAACTGTTACACTAATTCCTAAAATGAAGAGTACTAAGGATTGAACAGATAATATTTCTAAAGCACATTTAGCATGTGGCCTAGGGTACACACTCCACAAACACAGATGCTATTTATCATGATTTGTGTACTTAGTTTGAAGTAGTGTTAAGGCGACTTGTTTAATTATTTTTAATTTGCATATAATGATATAAAAGCGAAGTTCCCCCAAAGAATAACTTAATCACAAACACCCCACTCCACCTCTAACACCTCCTGCTGAAGAGCCCAATTACCCCCCGCCCCACAGTCTCAGTGGGCATGCTTTTGAGAATCAAACAACTGCCACTTTGTTGAAGCATTGAGGAATCACTCATCTCTCAAATATTAGACTCCTGCCTTTTAAAAAAAGAATTTAGAACCATGGATTTCCAATTAAAGGCAAGAGAGAAATTAAAATCTATTTCACCTTGGAAAGACAGCAGACACATAATCAACTCCTACCCTTAACACAAATCAATTTATCTGATTAGTTAACAAAACACATGACTCCAAAGAATGAGAAACACTGCAGTGAAGTCTAAGGAGAGGAAAAGAGAAGGACAAATTTCTAAACACGGATTTAGAATTACAGACTCAGAGCTACGACTTCCTTGCCATTTAATCCATCCAATTCTGCCCAGGCCCAGAAGTGAGATGAACACGTGTTAGAAGGCATGTCTCAACAAGCCACTGTGTCCCAGCTGGATTTGGTGCTGTGCATCTTACCTGCTTTCCTTGCTCCCCTTTCTGCCCAGGTGACCCAGGAGCTCCTGGCAATCCTGCTTCTCCCTGGGCACAGATGAATGTCTGTGTTAGTAAACGTTCTGCCACACTGACCTGCAGTCACACACATACGTATGCGGTTGGGAACTGGAAGGTACACCTTCACTCCCTGCTGAGCCATGCCTGCGGTTCTACAGGTTTCTCCCCTCTTTCACAAGGCTCATTCCTCACTGTTCCCAACCCCATTCAGCATTCTGTTCCAGGAGTTGCTCCTCTATCTACTCTCACCTCCCTGGGACCTTCCTGTGGGACTCTGCAAGTTATTCACCAGCTTAGCACAGACCCCACTGCAGCCACCACACCCAGAAAAGGGAGTCACGTGGGTCCACAGACCCAGTCTCCTGATTACAACGCAAACAAGTTATTTTAGCTGTTTAGTGAGAGGCAACTGTTGGAAATTTGGGCTACAGAACAAATATGGTCACTACACAGAAAGGAAATACTATCTACAGTATTTTAGTTTATGTTTGTTGAAGAGAAGGTTCTGTATTTCCTTCAACTCTGAATTCCCAGAACTGTAGCCCATTCCTGGCACATATGAAATAGTCAATATGTGCCTGTGTTAAGGTGGTTTCTACCTTCCTAGCCTTATTCATTCTGATTGCATCATGAAAGGAAGATCAGATGGGCTCAGGAACTGTGTAAAAATCCAAGAAATTCTATTTGCAACTCCTTTCTGTAAATCTCTTTGGTGACAGTGTGGCTTAGGAATGTGATTCAACCAGCACCAAAGGATGAGACACATGCTGCTCCTGAGAGGCGACAGTCATGGAGCCAAGTGTGCTGTCTGTAGTGGCTTTCCTGTGGGAATAGGCCAGAGCTAGCTTACCTTGCTTGGAACGCAGGGACACAGGTCTTGAAGTTCCTGCTTTGCTGGTAGATATGCAAACATTTTACCACCATGAGCGGTTACTGATGGTGATGACATTCTTCCAGAGACCTCCAGCTCTGGGCACTAAACCCAAAAAAAAGAGAAGTTAGAGAACGGGGTCAATTCCAAACTCCGGCTCCCGGCAAACTAGGATTGACTGGCTGCCTGCCTGAACCTGCTTCGTATTAATCGAACATTGGTCTCACCTGAGTGTGAGAGTTATTATACTTCTCTTTATCATTGAGTCGCCAGTGTATTTCATTCCACTAACACAGGAGGATTGTATTAAAGCTAATAATTTTAGTGATTTTCTAAAGCTACAGTCTGTGATTTGTGGCAGGTGCAGTAATACTGTATGTTACGATATGTGAATATCTATTTTGGGGGACAAAAATTAAAGTAAAACCATGCAATACACACCTGTAAAGCACAGTTACTTTAACAACATGATTGTAAAGATATGTAAAGTAGAAAACAATTTCTTTGTGTACTATAAAATGATGTCTATTTAACTAAAATATACTGTGTTTTAGTCTACTATCCCTCCAAGATATTAATCTTCAGTGTAACATTAAGTATTGGATTTGATATTTATACAATAAGTTTAGAACATGCAGGGGAGGAAGTGAAATTTCATTACAAAGAAATGTACTTTGTTTTCTTAAAATCTTTAACCATGTGGAGATTCTAAAAAGGATATAAATGAATCTTTTTTTTCTTAACATCACATATCAGACTTGTCTCCATGATTAAGAATTTGAGGTTTTATGAAGGAAAAGCATTCAGGAGAAAAGTTCATGTTACTTTGCATAAGCTATATACACAAGAATGCTCAGGAAAGTATTTTCAGGATGCAAAACTAAAATATAATCAATGGTTAACCATCTGAGATCATGGGTGGCATTAATTTTCTCTTTTTGTGTTTGGTGGTATTTTCCAAGTTTTCTAAAATAAACGTGCACAACTGATATTTATTTGGGGGAAAGGATGTCACCATCAATTTAATGATTAGCAAAATTAAATTTTATGACAGAAATTATTTTGAAAAATGGACAACACTTTAAGGCTTGATAACAATAAAAACTATAACAAAATTAGCAGTCAGACATACTGTAACTAATTTCCTGTTTTCACTACTAACTTTTTTATATTTACTCTTTTTAGATTTAATGATTATTTAGTTATATTATTGCTTCCAAGTCCCAAACTATGAACACCACATTTAATAACAATTAAGTCAGATTATCATCAAAACAGTTCATATTTTCCAGTCAGTTTTTGCCCCATAGATTCTCAAATAACCAAGACCCCCCACTTGAGAATTACTTCTTAGGCTTAACTGTAAAACTGTCCACCTCCCTAAAAGTGCTGCCTAAAGGCAATATAAAGCATACAAGTACACACTCTGCCTCTCATAACAAGTCCTGGTTTTGATTTGACTTGTTCAGTAAATTAGCCCTCGAAATTATAATCATGCCTCTCATTTATTTTCAACAAATGTTACTGCTCTTTTCTTCGTATTTGTTCTTCATTCTTTGTATGTTTTACTGTCATAAAGCTCAACCACTTCAGAAACTGAAAATCTAATTTAATAGAAAAAACATGTTCTCAGATGATCTTGAGTAAATTTCACCTTTGAAATGCTCTATAAAGTATTAACACTAATACACATGTGTCCTGAATTTGAAGGTCCAGGACAAAATTACATTTACAAAAACATACACTAAGCTTTTCTGATTTCAATACACTTTGAAAAAAAGAAAAGAAGTAAGAAATATAAGAATGCAGTTGTATCTGAAATACAACAAATGCTATATATAGCTTTAATATAATTATCTTCTAAGCTATACATTTCTATTGGTAAAATCTAGCATGTTTCTATTACTTATCAGTCATTAAATGGATGGTGACATTCCTTCCCCCAAATAAATATCAGTATGAAAAAATAGTATTTGCCTTTTTCCCAAAGTTGGGGGATGAATTCCTAACTTATTTTTACTCTAAAACTAATTTTCAAATTATCTTTTAAAACATGACAAAACGCTTTTTTGTTTACAATGTGTGAGGTCAGTCACTGCTTTAAATTACTAAACCACCTCATCCAATCTATTACCTATGTTTGTTTAAATAGTTTTCTCACAATTTAACTTAAATATCTATTATATAATGACACGGAGCACTGGTTACTGGTTAAAAATACAATACTAGAGAAATCAAAACACTTTTCTTTAAGTCGAAGAAAATATTAAGAGCTCTTATATCAAAATATGATAACTAAAAAACTTTTGGGAAACTAATACCATCAAGATTTAAAAGTGTGGCACCAGGAAGTCTAGGTATTTCAAGTCTGTAGATTGGCATTCTAAATTATCTTTTTAGATATTTATAGAAAGATATTTGGCTGGCTTTCATTTTCCTTGGAATGTGAGCCATAAACTGGATTGCAGATATGTTGTATACAGCCAAGTTGCATAAGCAAAACACACAATATTTTAAACACTGATCTATCCTGTGAGTCACTTGGATGCATTCTCATTCTACTGCCCAAAGTATAAGAGTGTTAGGAGATACTTTTAATTACAAATTATTGATTAAATTTTTATGATTTTCTTTGGCAAATATAGAGGTTTTAAGAAATCTAAGATTCAACAGAAAAGGTACTTTTAGCATTTTTCATCTGTTCATTTTCATATATTTTGCTTCAGTAAGTTTCTCTGAATTACTTTTTTTTCAAACACCTTTCTTTTATAGCTGATACATCAAGAAATAATGCTTTGGCTATCTTCTTGAACAAAGCACTAGAAATAAGCAAGAAGGATAAAGTAAAAGTAAAACTTTCTTCCCTGAATCTAAATTGTATCTGAATAATTTAAAATAAATATCATTATATCAGGTAAGATGGCACACAGAATGAGAAGTAATGAAAGTAATGAATTCAGAATTTTTCTGGAAATGAAGTACAGATTAATAAAGCAACAGCTGTGCAGATAGTATATTAGTTTTCTTGATGCTGGGGCAAATTATCTGACACTCACGATTTAAAGGAGATTCATGAGTTTAAAAGTTTCAGTCCAAAGTCAGCTAGCTCCAAGGTAGGAACATCATTGTGGAAAGCACATGGCATAATAAGGCTGCTAAGTTCGTGGTGGTTGGGAAGCAAAGCAGGCGAACAGTGCCAGAGAGGAAAGGTCAGGACCCATGCATGGTCCCAAGATCATGCTTTGATATCCCACTCAGACAAAGCCAAAAGTATGCTTTACTAATTGTTTAGGCAGCTCTCAACTCAATCAAGTTAACCATTAAACTTAACTATCATACTGCACCCATTGTCAATTGATACCCAAATATACCTCCATAAACTATAATTTCCAGATATATAATCTCCAAAAATAATAAGTTAATAATTGCACTTAACATGATACAAATATCTCTTGTACAACCAAATAATAATAATCCCTTCCCCAAAGTTTCAAGAGTTTCAGAATTTTTCTAAAGTCCAAGTCTCTTCTGAGATTCAAGGCAAACACTTAGCCTTAAAAATTAAAACAACTTACATAGTCACAAGTTACCATGACACAGGATAAACATTTACATTCCGAATGGAAATAGAAAAGAATAGGACTAAAGTAAGACCAAAATCAGCCATGGAGAAAATTGAATCCCACAGCCCCATGCTTGAATCTGAGGCAAGCAGTGCTGAGATGGGAGTTTCCGAAGGCTGTGTAGGCCCATCCCCATGGCTTTACTTGTTGCAGCTCAATTGGTCTTCTCTTAAGCTGGCTCCACTTGTTTCCAGCATTCAACTTTCCTGGGTTCTATATTTGTGGTATCTCCAACTTCCTGGGGTCTCCACTGTACTTTCAGCTTTATTCACACAGCTTCATTCATGCACCTGCCTCTCCAGGGAACTTTGCCTGTGTATCTAGACTTTTCTTTGAAATCTGGGTGGAAGTTTCCATGACTATACAGCTCTTACATTCTGTTTTCTAGTAAAACCAGAATCACGTGACTAGTGACAAGGTCTGCTGTCACCGTGCAGTAGTCAGGCCCTCTTGGACCATGGCTGCAGTGGCCTCTGAGTGCCAGGATGACTGGGAATGGTGACATGAGTCTCAGGCAATGACTACCCTAGGAGACCTTCTGCAGCAGGAGTCCCAGGGACTTTTCTCAAATGAAAGGCTGCCACCTTTGCAAGCTGCCCTGGGTGGGGTCTTGCTGATTGTTAAGATGTCCTCAGAGCATCTTTGCTTTTGTCACTCTTGTCCCCTCATTTCAATAGCACTAGTCTCTTCAGAAATCAAACCTCTTTAGGCTCCAACTTTACATATATTTCCTTTTGGATAAAAATTTAAATTTTTCAGCGTTTTCTTCTCTGTTTTTGCTCCCAGTTCCATTGTCTATCTGGCTAAAAAGCAACCAGCAGTACTCATGCCACAACCTGAATGTTGGGTTGCCCTGAAATTTCTTCCACTAGAGAAATTAGTCTACTTTCCTTACTGTCACTCTCCTGCCTGGTCTAGTGACATAAAGAAGATGTAGACACAGTTTTTGCGCGAATGTAACATACATGGCCTTTAGTCCAATTCCCAACAGAGTTCTCATTTCCTCCTGAACATGGCTTTAACTGCATTCATAACAGCATTCTGATCTTCTTGTACTTCTACCAGAATTACCCATTAAGCTCTGCTTACAGCATTCTAGCCCCTATCTCCAAACTTTTCCAAATTCCTTCCACTACCAGTGTCAAAGGCTTCTGAACTACATGATCAGGTGCCGTATAGTCACTGCAATGACGCCACTCCTGGATATCAATTTTTGTATTAGTCAACTTGCCCACTGGTGGGACAAATTATATGACATCCACTATTTAAGTAGTTTTAATTTGGCTTATAGATTTAGGGTATACAATCCATGGCAGGCTGGTTCCAAGAGATAAATATCATGGAAGAAGAGCTTGGATGACCTAAGATGTTTAGTTTATAGCCACAAGAAAGTAGACTAGGGAAACAGTACCAGAGAGGATGTGGTCAGTAGCCATACGTAGTCAAGCCTCCAGGACCCAGCTAGACGCAGCCAGCACAGTGCTTTACTAATCTTATAGTTGGCTCTCAAGTCAAGCAAACTGACAGCTAAGCCTAACATCAGAGTTAGGTTGGGAACACTTAGAATGTGAGGCTTAAGGAACTAGATTCATGATTCATTGCCAACAGAGAAACACTTAAATAAGCTTTGAGAAAAACTGAGTAGATAGGGAATTTATCTGTTTCTTAGCCCTATTCTTTAGAACAGTCTTTGAAAAACAAATATTTGTTGGAAGAAAGTAAATGAATATATAAAGCTGTGATTCAGAGATTTATTCTGGTTATGGTGCTAAGAAGGACGGGGAATGGGAAAGGCAATGGCAGGATGATGCAAAATTCCAAGACAGGCCAGTGAGGAAAATGACTGACAATAAGATAAGATTGTTGATTGAAAAGTGGAAAGCAATGATGTTACTGGAGACAATTAGAGAGACAATGTAGACATTGTCTGGAGACAATGTAGGAGAAAAGTATAAATTCTCTCTTAGTTATGGTGACTCCAAAGAGAAGACCATATGATCTCCAAAATTCACCTTGAAATTCTGGAATTAGAGATTTTAAAACTATAGCAAAGCACTAAAAAGTCTTCCTTACTTGGAATAAATTACTCACCTGGCTTCACCAAAAGATATTCAGTATTGACCTTCACCTGGACTCCATAGATTATGCAACTAAAAGGTAACCGGCATTAGCTTCATTGTCATATATCAAGAAAGTTAACTTACCTTAGTAGCTGATATTTCACAACATGCTTCTTGAGCTATGAAGTTTGTATCACAGTAGATTTTAAGTTGGTGAAGTTCAATCTGTTAAAAAATTAGCAGTGAAATACACCATTAGTTTTTGAGAATCATATTAACTCAGTAATTTAACTTAAATGAAAAAAAAAGGCTAACATCAATTAGCCAGATTTTTAAATGTTTTATGTAATTGAGGATTTGCTGTTTTATGGATCACTTGGAAAGTAAATATAAAACTGATCTATAGATAAAATCAGGTATGGAAAACACTTGCAAAATTTAACTGTTTCAAACAATAAAAAGAAGTATTTAACTAAAAAGAAGTACTGTGCACCACAATAAAGTATGCACACAAAATGAGTCTATTTCAACATTTACAAAACTGGAGAAAAAGTGAGGCCAAAGGTTTGAGCATTAACAAAAAGGCACGAGCATATGATGGAAGGACTTTACACCTCCAGATCTCTTTTCTGAGGCAATTAAACAGATGAGTAATTCTCAATAAGGTAAAAATATGTATTCAGTTTTTCATAAATTCTATGTAAAAACTATGGTTTTTATACCATATTAGAATGTTCCTGACCATTTTACAAAGTAATTGATTCTATTTGCTTAGATTCACATTTTTGGTATTTTTATAGTAAATTAAAAGTAGTCTAAGGAAAGCATAATCATGTCCTTAAATGGGAGATCAAACAACTCTCTAGAAGTCAATAATACAATTAATAAAATATCAAATATTAATACTACTAATAAAATACCAAAATGATAAATGCTTAAATAGGGCATTTGAATGTCTTAGGCACTGAAATGTTTTAAAATGTGTTTTGTATGTAAGCATTGATTGCAACCTTGAAGTTAGTTTGTGTTTACAAATTTTTGAGTTTAATTAACTGTATGATGATTTGCTGTATAACATGAGTTGGGAATCTCTCTCGCCCCTCCTCTTTTTCTCTCTTTCCTTCTCTATCTCTTTATTTTCTTAGTGTAACACTGCTAGCATTACTTTGAGGTTACTCAATAAATATTTTCTATAGAAAGTCCAAATAGCTGTGAGTCTCTGTGCACACACATATGTGTGCACATACACAGACAGAGACAGAGAGAGAGAGAGAGAGAGAGAGAGAGAGAGAGAGAAACAGCTATAGCTTTTACTCCCCACTAAGATAAACAAAATTAATTTGGTTTGTAGAAAGCCTTTAGAGCTCCAAATATCTTGCAGATTCATGAGCAACCCAAGATTTGCAAATATTGTAATGAAAAACTCTGAGATTCAGTGACATTCAATGAGTTTTCTTTGGTAATTTTCTCAAGGTTATTAAGGTTAACTTTTGTTTGTAAAATTTAAATATACTGACTTAAATGTTCTAATGAAATACTTCCAACATACAAATTATGTAGAATAAAAAGCGGAGATTTCCTTCAAAGAGAAAAAAAGGAAAAAATGGATACAAAGGTTTTATGAATAAGGAGGAGAAAAGAGTTGAAGAGTGGAAGGAAGGGCAATGGGGGAAAAAGTCAATATATACCATGCACAGGTACAAATTCTCAATGCTGAATGTGATCACTTATATTAACATGTACCAATAAAAGTAATTTAAAATAAAATAAAATACTTAATGGATGTAAACCTGCCAACTTGGAATTTTTATTCAATGAAAATATTTTTCTAAAGTAAAAGTAAATTATTAAGGGTAAAAAAATGGAGATTTCAATTAATATTGTTCTTAACTAAAATTTATCATCATCATTATTATTGAAATAGCTAAAAATATTGAAATCCTACTGTGTGCTATTCATCTTAGGTCCCACATGTAAAATATTACACTTAGCTACAGACAGATTATCAGTTTTTGAAGGATAAAAACTGAGTGTTCCTCATATTGAAATTATAATTTAGTTTACCTATACTTTCATTACTGATAAATTAGAATCCTTTATTGATACAGTGTTTTAGAAGAAGAATATTCATAGCAAAGTCAACACTAATGGTGTCAAACTGAAGATTTGTTTCTTTTTTCTTTTTCTTTTTTTTGGTGGGGGGCTAATGGGTATCAAACTCACAACCTCGTGCTTGCCAGGCAGGTGCTTATGCCACTGAGCTAAATCCTCAGCTTGTTTCTTTTTTTAAAAAAATTTATTTCAGTTTTTTCACCTCTTTCTCATAAAAATACGCAGGTAGAATATGTAATATGAACCTAATAGAATGATTTTTTTCAGTAACACGCATCTCAATAAGTAAAACACTGCAACAGATCCGTAATTCTATGGAACACATCTGAGGATAGTGAAAAGTTAGTAGACTTGAAGTTTAATAGGATTACATGTTTAATTCAAACGGTGACTTCTTCATGACATACTGTCACTTTCATCCTCAGATGAACTAAGAATCCACATGAAAGGACAGAATCACTGTAATAAAGCATATAACTTTTACATAATGCCCTGTTTATGAAGAGATGCCTGATACTCTTCAGCCTTAAATTCTGGGACCAACTTTCATTCCTTGAAAAGCAAATGAGACACAAAACATTCAACGTTTAGAGGTAAGGCTCCAAGGCTGGTTCCCACTCTTAGAATAATTCACGCCTTTTCTCCTGCCGCTCCTATTCCGTGAACTTAGCTCAGTTTCCCCTTGAGTTCTTCCAGGTCCTCTGAAACCAGAGACTACCTCACTGTTATTAGTTCTATAGGGGTCCAGATTCCAACCCAGAACCCCAGTGTCCCAAGCAGACGCTGCCATCCTCCCCTAAACTGCTGGGAGAAGTCCCTGGAGCTGCTCTGCCCTTGTCCTGTTCTTCCCCACCGTTCCAGGTCCCACCTCAGAGTCTGCTCTGCTGGCTCCCACAGACTCTTGGCATTTGGACAGTCCTCTCTGAAAGATCCATCTAGTACTGATGTTGTCCTGACTACCCCTACTATTGTCAGCAGCCGCCATTTACTGACAGGTTTAATCCTTCTGTTAGCCTATGAGATTTCAGAGAACAGAAATAGTTTGTGTGATTTCTTTTCTCACCTTCTTATGCTAGCCTCTGGTTCCGAGTGGCTAAATGAACTGAGCACGCACTCTTTACACAACGAGGAACTTTCTACCTTAATTAAAGATACCGGTGTGCAGATGAATGAGTACCTACACAGATAAATTCACAGTTGATTGCAAGTTAAGCAGCTGAGTGAGGTTTTAAAATCTCATCTGATGCCCAAACCAGCTCGGTCACTCCTGTGCCAATGAAGTCTTGTTCTCAGTGTGCACTGCTTTTGCTAGGATCTATTTTGCTGGTCATCCTGAGCCCTTGCTATGACATTACACTGATTTTCTCATGCTTTTCTCTAAGGAAATAGCTCAAAAAACAATTATTTAAAATATATACATATATATATATATATATATATATATATAATATATATTTAGAAACAATACACTGCCCAAATATACATTTGCACAAAGCTATATTTTTAAAATACAATAGAAATATTGTCATTTTGTTAACAAAATTGGCATTTCTTTTTATTTGTTAATTTATTTAATTTTTTGTCTTTTTGAGACAGGTTCTGTGCAATTCAGGTTGGCCTTGACCTCACTTTTGAGTCCATGCTGGTCTCAAACTCACAGCAATCCTCCTGCCTTGGCCTCCCAAGTGCTGGAATTACACACATGCACTATCATGCCTGGCAAAATTGGCATTTCTATTTTGGGATATGCATTCAGAATTTAAGAAATTTTTCTTCTTTGTACTCAGAAGAAAATGTGCAGCCACCAAAACTAGATATGTCTCACTTTCATAAGATATAAGGCTTGGCAAGAGCTGTTGCTGGTGTGGGGACAGCCAGACCCAAGCCTCTCTCTGTGACTCAGGGCCATTTACGGATTGTGGACGGAGAGAACCAGGCCCCACAGGGAGGAGATCCCTGCCTGGAAACCATATCATTTTCATTGTTTTGTTGGGTTGAGTTTTTATTTTCTTTTGTTTTGTTATGTTAACTCTGATGGCATGAGCAGCTATTTAAAAGAGCAAAACATGCTATGGAAGCCATTCTGTAATTACTACTAGCTTGTTTTGAAGTCCTTTATTGCAGTCATTGTTTTGTTTTTATTGTTACTGTTTTATTCTGTTCAATTTTTAATATGTTCAAAGGTTTATCTTCAGCTATTTTGAAAACAAAGGCATTATGGTAACTATCGTTGATGTCATAAGGTTTGCAAGTCCTGTATCATTTTTTCTGGTTTATTTTGATTGATTTTATTGTTTTATTTTCCTCAGTTTTATCCTCTTTAAAACAAAAAGAAAAGATTTCAGGACTTGTTTTCTAGGGAAGTCAATAATAAATCTATATCATCTTAGCTTTCAAATGTAATTTTTAAAGGACCTTTTCATCTACACGAGTTTCGTAGCCAATTTTCCTCATCCAAACGAACCACTGATATATTTTAATGGCCGTATTTCCTTTCTATAAAACCCCAAATGCTCCAGTTTATAAAAAAAAGTCTGAATACAAAGCAGTTGCTATTGTGGGGATGGGTAAAACAGCCTGTTGTTCTTGAGTGAAAACACCAGATAATCTGGAATCATTTAATTGAAAGTTCATCTTTTTCCAGTTCTTCCTATTCAAAACATATGGGCTTAAACCAAGCTTACATTTTGTTCTGTATTTTCAATTTTTACTGAAATCTACTTCTAATAATCTTATTTTTAAAGGCATAACCAAATTCTTTTAAAAGTACTGACCTGGGAAAATGCTTGAAAATAAAGAAGATAATGCATGTGAAAATAGCAGTGGACATGAAGAGCAATCCTTCATACATTTGAGGGCAAGTACACAGTGACAAGATGGGGATTGATTACGGATAAATTGAAGGAAGAAAGAAGCTTTTAATAAAATATTTTGTGCTGACTTAGGGTTGGCACTGGCTGTCTTTTAAAGCTACAATCAAAACTTACGTCCACGGGCTTGCCGTCCGAAGCTCGAGCAGCGATAACTGTCCTTCCCTGAAAATCAACCGGGTCCTTCTCATCGGTCTGCCGATTTGCGATTAAATCGCAGTCCATGTAGAGTGACACGGCCCGAGATTGCACACCAATGCCAAGTTTATGCCACTGACGATCAAACAAAGGGCGAAGTTCCCTATTTTTAAAGACGTAGTTCAACACGTCTCCCTCGGAAGCTTGGAACATAAATTCCACCACCTTCTTTGCACCGTCAACTGCTACGGAAATCTGCAAAAATAAAAGTTATCTTTCAATCTTTAAATCATTTTAAAAAGCTTACCTCCAAAATTATTAAAGCCCCTAATATAAGCCTGCGGTGGATCATCATACAACTGAAACATTAATACAATATTTTAGATGACACCTGTATTTGCTAACATCTAAGAGTAAGTAACACCCATTTGCACATGGTCTCTTAGAAGATGGGGCATTCTTTCTTTCTTTCTTTCTTTTCTTTTTTTTTTGGTACCCGGGATTGAACTCATGACCTCATACTTGCCAAGCAGAAGCTTATGCTGCTGAGTTAAATTCTGGGCCCGATGATAGGGCATTCTGATGATTGTAATGCAATCCTACTCAAGAAAAGATCTGAGTATGCAGAATAGATTTAATGGAATAATTTTAAAATTTTAAAATTATTTATGTAACATTATATATTTCATAATAATAAATTATAAAAAATGAGATAGAAATTTTACCACTTTAAGTCATACTATATACATTAATTTGTATACAAAAAAGTTTACATATAAATTATTGTTCTGTAAGAGTAATTCGCATCTGGGTGTGGTGGTGCACACATGTAATCCCAGCACTGAGGAGGTTGAGGCAGAAGGATCTCCATGAGTCTTAGGCCAGCCTGGGTGACATAAGTGTGTTCAAGACCAGCCTGAACTGCCTCATGAGACCCTGCCTCAAAAAATAAGTAAATAGATTAACATAAAAAAATAATTCAAGGTTACCATTTAAAATAAGAAAATGTTATTTCTCTTTGCATGGAACTGAGATGAACTTCTTCAACCTCTGACGGTTTACATGCAAAGCAAATATATTTGACATGCACTGTTAGTTCAATTCATTTTCCTGTCATAAAACTGGGACTGTGTGAACAGATAAAATGATCGGCAATATTAAAAACACTTCAATGAAAATGTATAAAAATAAAGACAAATTCATGATGTTGATAAGAAATCTGGTGATTCTTGGGTATATACATACATGCCCTCTTTTCAATCCAAACCCCATTATCTCTTCCAAACTTTCCTGGATTCCTGCTCTCTCCATCTCCTAATTTTGATGGTTTATCTTTTCTGTGTTCTCATAGTCCCCACCCAGTGCCACACTTACCTCCACATTATGGTGCTGTTATATTGTCCTGCTACAAATGTCTTCCCTTTATACTTAATGTTCCTTAAGAATGGCTCTGCTCTGTAAGTCTCTTATCCTGTCCCATAGTTTTTTATTGATGTAATAAATATGTAAGTCTCACCTCTTAATTCACCAAGGATTGTCAGGTGCAGCAACAAACCTCTCTAAAAATAATATATATATAACATCAAATTTGATAGAAGGTGAAAAAGCTGTTAGTGAGGTGAGGATGATGGAAAAAGTAACACTCCCAGGCTCCTCAGACAGGGTATGATTCATGAACTAAAAAAAAAATGTAACCACCTCATCCACCAGACTCTCATAGATCTCAGTAAGATCATCTTAATTACCAATTTGCATTGCCCTATTGATAATTTCTCTAAAAGACAGCATATTTGGATATTAAATCAGCTTCCAAATTTGGGTGCATGGTTTATTCACTCCCCTGCCCTAGTCACACAAAAGATCTGGATAAGCACAGCTCTGGTGGTTTCTTACCTGAGGCATATTCTGCTGGTTTAAGACTTGCCACAGAATCCACCGTTCCTTCTTGGTGTTTCTTCGTACACGAAATGTGGCTGCTATGGAGAATTCCTCTGGAAGACCATTTGGAAACACCTGACTGTGGCAATAAGGAAAAGATTATTGTGCGAAAACTAATGATGGCAGGAAAGAGAATCTAGGTATGAAGTTTCAGGTTGCATGGAATCTCCATCATATTTATTTTGCTATCTTATAATTTATTATTCATTTTGACAATTTATCTACTGGAAATATCTGGTATGGTGGGCTGAAGTTTGGGGTATACAAAGGCAAGTAGATAGGCCACAGTATTAGGTTATGATATTCTCTTTTTGAAAATGTTCCAAAAGAGGAAAATTATAGAATTCTGGCAAACAGTAAGAATTTATCAAGGACATACATAATACTTCTTGATTTTACTGATAGAAGTACAGAAAATCTCAAAAACATTGATACTAAATGCATAATTTGCAAAGAAGTTTTATCATATTAAACACTTGCAAGTAAGTTCCTAACACTGACTTCCTCGTACTAATTTAAGATGACACTAAATACAGAAAGGGGAATTATCTTTATTTTTAATTGCTACAGAAAACTTTAAGTTAGCAGAGAGAAGCCATGAAACAATCCAAATATCCTTCTACTTAATCTTGTTCCAAAATACTGGTTTCACTAAACACATGGGGCAGGAGGTGTTTCACACTGAACAAACTTGAAATTTAACTTTCATTACAAAATGAAAAGACTGCTTATTTAAGATAACTTTTAAATTTATTCTCACTGAACCTACAAACTCTGCAAGGCAGAAATCTGCTTTTCATAAACAGAAAACACACACACACACATAAGAATCTCTTTGAGTACAAAACATTGCCAGAAGTTGTTAAATATAACAAAATACCATCAATTGAGGTGGCAATTATTAACTTTGAATTTTACACTCAGCTCCATTGAAACTAACACACAACTACTGAAACTGACAAACTTTCATGGCGAATACTGAATTTTCTTTTCATTCTTTGTGTCAAAGACAAAGTTACATGTGATACAGAAATCAGGAAAAAATATGAAAAAGCTGTACTTATCTCAAGTTCTTATATAAATCACTTGATTAAAATGTGGTGTGTGTGTGTGTGTGTGTGTGTGTGTGTGTGTGTGTGTGTATGTGTGTATGAGAGAGAAAGACAGAGAGAGAGAGAGACAGAGAGAGTGCAGTGACTCTATGGTGGCCTGAAAGTGATAGGCACTCAGCAGGGAGATGTACTAGTCTCAATTCTGATCTTTTCTGGGCTCCAGGCATGACAGACTCTACTCTGTTGTGTGACTGGGTTCCAGCAGGGAGCTGCGGCTCCAGGCAGGTCAACAGTAAATTAGCACAGTAAACAAAATGGACACTGCACTTACATATGAGTGTGTATATCTGTAAGTATGCTACTTTTACCTTCTTCCTAGAGGATTTATTAAAAAAGAGAAACAAACTTTATCGCTACTGCATTAACACTTCTTGAGTAAGCAAGTAAGCAGCAAATAATTCTTTTCATCAATTCCATCAAAGTGATAATGTCAAAAATAAGATCTTCTTTCTGAATTGTCACCAATGTCAACGTAAGTCATGGTAACAATTACTATATTGATTTAAGTAATGTCCCATACTTAAGCAGAACAAAATTCAGGAGCTGATACCTGGCATTTCTCTTTGGGACTAGCTATAAACCTGAAAGATGGACATGCATAGGGCTGAGGGATGACACAAAATATATCCTTCCAAAAGGGAAATCTGAGATAGCTCCAACAAACTACTTTCAAAGAGATTTTCTTTTTGTTTTTATTTAAAAAGTTAAAGAAGGAGATTAAGATAAAAGAGGACATAACAACAAAACAGCACAGGTCAGAACAGAACAATATAAGCAACATAGTATTTCACCACAAGATAACCCGACATAAGAGTAGATACCGTAGTGTCTCTTTCCTTGAAATATTTGAGTATAACTTCATATATTATAGCATCAAACACAACATGACAGTGTAAAACCATTGAAGATAATGGAAGTATTACAGGGTATTTAGAACCAGCTAACAGAAAACGAACAATGGTTTCTATATTATCTCCTTATCTATAAAAATTTTGTTTATACTATCACATATAATAAAATCCAATAAGATATAACATGATAAACTTATGGAGACAGAAGAACAAAAGCTTCATGGGACTTCAAAATAACATGATATTATATCAGCACTAGCTATTATATTGTCTTGTTTTCTTCAAAATAACTGTTCATACCATCACAGATAATAAAATCAAATAACCCAGAATAGAATCATTCCAATCAATGAAAACATTATAAGGCTTCAAAGCAATATAATGGGAAACAATGTTTACCACATACTTTCAAACTCTGTGGCAGTCCCCCCCCCCTCTATCCCCCAGCTATGCCGCCATAGCTGTGGCCCCACTTGGCTTCCAGTGTCCTGCCTGTTCTCTCCATCTTGGAGCTCGTAGGATCCAAATGTTATCTCATGTGTTCTGGAATTGGACAATGCTATTATGCCTGGGCATTATTCTTTCAATTATTGTACTGAACACGTCTGTGAAAATGGCATGTACATTACTAAAAGTACTTGGTTGTTTTCTCTGTATTATTTTCTCTTATCTCCCTTTTCAGGAACTCCTTTTTTTAGATAACTGTTTTACTCCTGTATTAACTACCTAGTGTTCTCATCTTTTTTCTTATATTTCTTTATAACTTAATTCTATTTTTGTGATATTCCTTTAATTTTCCAATCTTTGTAATCAACAACACTTAATTTTGTTATATATAATTATGTATATGTACCTATACATATAATATAGACATGAATGTGTATCTCCAGGATTCTATTTTGTTCTCCTTTTCAAAATATCCTAAATTTTAGTCACTATCCAGAATTCAATATTTTTAACCTGTTTGAGTTTACCAATTGATTGTGATTTTTAATGTTTTCCTCTGCATTTCAGAAGATCTCTACTTCATCCAGGTTAGTTTTTGCCATTGACAATTTGATTCTCTCTTCTACAAAGAGAGACAAAGGCTGTATTTTACTTTCAGGTATGTGATATCTCATTCATGTTAAAGAGGGAGCCCTGAAACCACAGCTGTAAACACTGTAAATGCTGGTGCCCAACGTCCACAAGCAAGATCACTCACTTTGTGAGTGGCAGGTACATTTCATCGTGGGCCCCTCAGATATTAACATAAGGGATTACTTTTGAGAGACACATAGTTTACCTAAAGAAGAATCTTCCTATTTCCCACTTGGTATGTGAGTAGCATTTACCTACTTTGCTACAGAATGTTACTTTTGACTTCCATTTTTGATGTCACACATTATCGGTGCCTTTGTGACTTCTGTTTACTCTCCATTTAGATTTTCCAATCTAGAAATCTCTGGCTAGGCTTTTCTAGCTAGTAAGTCTTCTGCCACCAATCTGGTTGGATGATGAAGGAGGCAGCAACCTGGAGCCTCAGGGTCTCATGTTCACCACACTCACACGTACACACACACTGTGCACGTGCACACACACCTCACCAGCTTCTGAGAAGCCTAGTTCCTCCTGACTCTGAGCCTCTCAGAAGTCCTGGAAGTATCAGAGTCACATCCTCACCAACATTCTGCAACTTGGAACTTAAGTTCCAGTTTTTCCTATTTGTTGAGTCAGTTTCTGTTCCTCCAATTGTTTTCTGTCTTCCAGAATGTATTATAATGCTTCTCTGTTGTTTTACACCCCATTCTATAGTAATTTTTGCATTTTTAGCACATTAAACTTCCTTTTGAATCTTTAATCTATCCCTTTCCAATGGCACCTTTTCTTTTACAAATGTATATACATATTTCCCTTTCCGTAAATCAAATAGAACCCTGCTACCCCACTATTACATTTTTACTCATCTCCCAAACTGTATACATTAACACCGAGTGCCTACATTCCCACCACATTTACTCCTCCCCTTCCACCTTCTGCGTTCTTAAACATTTCCAGTCAGTTAATCCATTGGTCTCTTCTCAGTCTTTGTCCACTCCACTCCTGCTTTAGGTTTTAATAGTGCAGCATCTTTTCTTCATTCATATAAACCAAGATTTACAACCACAGTGGCCTGTAGGGGACGGCTAAGAAACCTGGAACGTGTCAACCACTTGAGCTCCTTTGTCCAACCTACTTGCCAGATCTACAGTAGTGCCTGCGTGAGGTAGGTAGTCAATAAATATTAAGTAAATCAATACATAGACTGAGTCCAGCATAATTTTTTGGATTCAAAACAGATGGCCCTCTTAGCTTTGGTTTTTCCATCTTGGATAGAAATGTGCATGCAAGACATTTTCACTTCCTTCTTAGCACTTTTGTAAGAAACATAAATAAGCAAGTCAGACAATATTAGCAACTGACACTGTCCTCACATAGAGGACACATGTGCGTACTGTGGGAAACCGGGAACCCAGCCCATCTATGGGGCAGCTGCTCTGGGGAACAGCCAACTGTTACCATATGGGAATGTGCATCCAGTGCTGCCAGACCATCCTGTTTTTCAGGAGAAGCCAAAAATATAGATATTTGTAATCTTAAAAGTTTAGTCTTAAATTTCTGCAATTAATTCAAATTTCTCATAAGCACTGTCCAGACTAACACTTTACTGGCCGAATAAAACCTGTGACTGCTGGTTGTCAGCTTAAACATTTGCTGGAGACCCAGCATGCACAAAGCACTGTGGGGCTTACAGAGAAGGGAAGGGATGTCTCTACCCCCATCCTACTTGCTTCATAAGACTGGTTGAGAGTGGGCAACCATCCACAGGAAATATAAACAAAGAATAGAGAAAGACTGAGCATGGCTGAAATTAGTACTCCAAGTTATGAAAAACCTCATTAAAAATGACATTGTTCTTAAAGACCTACTCACAGCAGAGCAGGATGGTAAAACAGGACAGAGGGTGTTAGAGAATCCTGCTTTGCTATGATGAAGGGACAGCAGATACTTAAAGAAGTGATGAGTGCAGATGCTCAAAAAAATCTTACCTTAAAGTAAGGGTCCAAATGAACCTGTACCGTTCCTGGGTTTCCATG